GTAGGTGTTGACGAGATGAAATAGGTGTTTCCGATACATGGAAAATAGGTATAAACGAAAAAAAAAGCGAAAATTTTTCCACTGCGAACAGAAAAAACAGGTGTTGTCGGTGCAACACCGGGACCATACTAAATCCGCCATCGTGTATGGATATAAAAATCGTAAGTAAAAATATATTATTTTTTAATGGGAGTAATCAAAATGAAAATTGTAGTAGACTTAAATACGAACGCATGGATATAAAGATCGTTAAAATCTGAGATCATATGAAGAAGTTATGACGTTCAGAACACATGACCTAAGCAACCAAGTAGTCGAGATCGCGATGGATATAAGCATCAAAAGCCTCATACACCTCATTAATGAATGTCCCACGTAAGATTTCGTGAGAAAAAAACTAAAAAATCATTCATAAGTACTGAATGAGTACAAAAAAATAACTTATTTTACAAAAAAAAGGACTAAATGTGTACAAAAATATTAAGGACTAAATGTGTAAAAAGTGAGAAATATATTACCCTATTAAGCCATTTTTACCGGGTAACCTGGAGTAGTCGGTCATAAGGACTGAATGTATACAATTTAACAAGTTGAAGGGGTAAATGTGGACGAAAAAAAAAACTCAGTGACTAAATGTGTATAAATCGAAAAATATATTACTCTTTTAAGTCATTATCCCTATATATATATATATATATATATATATATATATATATATATATATATATATATATATATATATATATATATCAGCTTTTTTAGAAAATATATGAAAGTTATGGTTTAATATGAAAAAAAATATAACGGCTTTAATTAGTTTTCCTTAGGAAGAGAGTGAATATATAAACCCCTCGGCGACACATTCCTGATTCCTCTCTCATAAGTTAAGCGCCAAAAAGCAACCATGAAGCCTGTCGCTTCACGTTTCTTCTTCCCATTTCTTCTCCAAATTTCAGTTCTCATTCTTCGAATTTCTCTCTGTAATTCGAGCTATCTAATCTATGGCGAAGCGCTCTCTAAATCAATCCTGTTTTTCGAAGGCCAGCGCTCCGGTTACCTCCCCAAAGACCAGAGAATGAACTGGCGGGGGCATTCTGGACTCGGAGATGGTTCAACCGTCAATGCCGACCTCACCGGCGGGTACTACGACGCCGGAGATAATGTGAAGTTTGGTTTTCCGATGGCGTTCACGACGACGATGCTGGCGTGGAGTGTGATTGAATTTGGAGAGATGATGCCGCCGGCGGAGTTAAGGAATGCGTTGGTGGCGATTAGGTGGTCCACTGATTATTTGCTGAAAGCGGTGGCGCAACCGGATCGGATTGTTGTTCAGGTACGATTAGTAACTGCTATGTTATGAATTGTTTGGTGTGAGTGTAATTGATTGGTAGAGGTGAGGGCAATTTGGTAATATAGGTGAAGTGGTCTAGCAGTTGTTGAACCTCCTTAATGTGGCTATACAGGACAAAAATAATGACGGTGGGGTGGATTAAAGCTTTTCTTTAAAAATAATGCTAACATGTATGTCACATGTCACATAAAATTTACAACAATCATTAATAAAACACGATATAACATTCCATTTTAGTATAATAATCATATTCTATACCATCATTATGTTTGAGTAACGTTTTTTTTTTTATCTATGCATTTTTTTGGTTTACTCTCAATACAAATTAGTTTATATGTAAACATTCAATGGATGATTGCAAGTGAAAACTGAAAGTGATTGTTGATGTGTTATGTGTATATGGTGATGTGCATGGGCTATCCACTATCCAACTAGGAAAATCTGTTAACGGGTATTCGGTGCACAAAACCTGTAGCATGACCACATTTGTTATTTACTTCAACCAGTGAATTTTTATTATTATTAATAAGAATAATAATCTGTTATAATTATTATTATGATTGTCTGATGGATTTGGCATAATGGTTTCAGTTTTATTACGTGTGTGTTTTTTTTTTCTTTTTTATTAGATCGTGGTCAATGTTTGGTAATGGTTTTTTCTTAATGGCACATGACATAAGCTAGAATCTAAATATGAGTTTTTCTTTTTGGCTTATGCACAAAGAATAACTCAATAGAAAAACCAAAGAAATGAGTTTTATACTAACTTTTTATGAGTTTGTCCTTATTTATTTATGTTTTCTTTTTGATTTCTTCTATTGGTTAGTTACTTTTTTCAAATATATTTTAAAGATTATCTATCCAGACAACTATTAATAAAAAAAACATATGGTTGTTAAGAACGTTTAAGTCTTTAAAGGTTTTAAGTTTCTGTTGGTTGGAGTTGAATGTTTTTGGTCCTTTTGTAGGACAACCCGTGAGGCTAATGTAAGTGAGTGTGTATTATGTCTTGTGTTGGATTTATTAGCGTCACCTTCCTATCCACTTCTGTTGGTGGACCCCACATAAAGTGAACCCGTGATGTTTAAAAACCTTTCTTTCCTTAACTTTTTTAAATAACATTTCTTTTTTGCTGTGTTAAAAAAAAAAAAAAAAAACAAAAACTACCAAATTATAACAATAAATACAATAGTTGAGTGGATTTTTTAAAGTACAATATGATAAAAACTGAAATAAATGTACAAATGTTTTTCAATTTATTGTAGGTAGGTGAGCCGATGAATGACCATAACTGTTGGGAAAGGCCAGAGGACATGGACACGGCTCGAACCGTGTACACCGTGAGTGCACCGAACCCAGCCTCAGATGTAGCCGGAGAGACCGCAGCGGCTCTAGCCGCTTCATCCATGGCTTTGCGGTCTTCTGATCCGGGCTATTCAGACACACTTTTAAGAACAGCCACAAGAGTTTTTGAATTTGCCGATGCTTACAGAGGAGCTTACAGTGATAATTCAGACATTAGGGAAGCTGCTTGCCCTTATTACTGTGACTTTGATGGATATCAGGTAACCAATTTATTGATTTACCTTTTGAACTATTAATTTTTTATTAAAAAAATTGAAAAGAAAAAACATTAATTTGGCAGGATGAGTTATTATGGGGAGCGGCATGGTTAAGAAGAGCATCTGGAGGTGAAAACTACTTGGATTACATACAAAACAATGGTAAAACACTTGGTGCTGATGAAAATATTAATGAGTTTGGATGGGACAATAAACATGCTGGCCTAAATGTTCTTGTTTCCAAGGTAAGCTCCAATAAAGCAATAACAAGTTATTGAGATATACACTTTAGGCCCTTGTAGTTATTGAAATTTCAATAAGCTCCTTTGGATTTGAAATGCAGGAAGTTGTGGAAGACAATTTGTATAATCTCCAATCATACAAAGCATCCGCGGATAGCTTCATGTGCACGTTAATACCCGACTCGTCTTACTCTCACATGGAATACACTCCGGGAGGCCTAATCTTCCGACCCGGTGGAAGCAACTTACAACATTCAACCACAATCACATTCTTACTATTAGTTTACGCAAAATATCTACAACAATCATCAACATCAATAAATTGTGGTTCCGTAAGTGTGGGGCCCACATTCCTTCGCCAGATGGCCAAACGCCAGGTGGATTACATCCTCGGGGAAAACCCTAATGGAATGTCGTATATGGTTGGGTACAGTGATAGGTACCCGCAACGGATTCATCACCGCGGGTCGTCCCTGCCGTCTGTTAGGGACCACCCGCAGTTCATTGGATGTAAAGAAGGATCGGTTTATTTTAACTCGTCGGGCCAGAATCCCAATGTTTTGGTTGGAGCTGTGGTGGGTGGGCCTGGTGAGGATGATGTGTACGATGATGATAGGGCGGATTTTAGAAAATCCGAGCCTACGACTTACATTAATGCACCGTTTGTGGGTGTGTTGGCGTATTTTTCGGCTAACCCTAACCCTAGTTAGCGAGTTGAGAGTTTTTATTAGTATGGAGTATATTGATGTTTTGGGTTTTAGAGAAGAAAGTCTCTCATCTTGTGCTAAGCCAAGAAGGAAGAGATAGGTTTGAGCATGTTTTTAAGTACAATGTTTGGGTGGTAATTTTATTTGAAGTTAAATGGTTGTTTATGCAGCTATTATGTGTAAGTGTTACATATTGCTATTATCAGTACGGAAACATAAGAACTTTGCTATTATGGATGAGAAAATGTAAGTACATTGGTTTTTATGTTAAAGAAATGTAACATCTTGTTGCTTTTAGAGCTTATATATTGCAAGTGCATTAACATTATAGGTCAGAAAGTTGAAGTACAATGCTATTATAGGTATAAAAAAAATAAAGTACATTGCCTTTATTATTAATAAGAATCATAAAATACATTGCTATTTCATGCGGTTTGCTCTTGACAAGAACATCTCTAGAATTCTAGTCAACATTTAAGTTTGATTAATTTTTTAAATTATAAGACCAGTGAACTATTCATTTAAAAGATAAATTTAATCAAATTGCAAATCTAAACTTTATAAAAAATTAAAAACAATCAACAAGAACATATCTAGAAATTCATAAACTTATGCTTCTTTTTGCCAACAAAACAGTGAATTGCTCATTTGAAAGAAATCATCTCTAGACATCTTCAAAGTTAGTTTTCCTTTAAAACAGATCAAACATACACGATCTATTCAGTTGCTAAATCAAAATCACCTGTGAAACATATTTTAGAAAAAATTATACTTATCGATATCTGATAAAGAGTCATACAAAAACAAGAGATATTCAAACATTCAATTCTTTTTGCCAACAAAATCAAACTGACACTTTGATTCAGTTTCGAAATCAAACCAACAGTGAATTGTTCATTTGAAAGATAAACTTAATAAAACTTCATAGCGACTACAAATCATCAGCAGAAAACATCAATACTGTTGATTTCGAAAATGAAACGTTATAAATCATAAACCAGTAGATTATTCATTTGAACGATGAACTACATCAAATTTCATATCAATACTTTATAACAGCACATCAACAATAACACTGCTACAATTCTTGAAAATTAAGATCATACTCAAAAATCAAAATAGGGCTACAGAATAGAAATCAAATGAGTTTAAAAGGGAGAGGCCACGGAGTTGACCTGGGGACCTCGAGCTTGTCCTTAATCCGTTGAATCTTCTTCTCCTTCTTCGGCCTCGAGTTTCCGTACGACCCTTTGAAAATCTTCCCCTTTTTCGTTCTCTTATCCCCCCTCCCGCACAGAACAGGTGACGGCGCCGGAGCAGACGACGTTGACGATGGTGATAATGAAGTAAATGCGTACCGTTGCTCAGCCGTTAGTAGTAATCGCTTCGCCGTTGTGCCCCATCGTTGGATCAACATTGCCATCTCTCTGATCGCTGCTGAAACCCTAGAATGTAAGTCGACGCGTACACATGATAACTTCGCCTTCCTCGTAACTATATTTCCACATATACCCTTCAGGCAATTCAAAACCTTTTCCTTTTTTTTTTTTAAGTTACAAAATTAACATTATTTATTTATTACTTTTATCGCATCCCATTTTTTATTTATTTTTATATAATAATTATTTTTTTAAACGATAAATATACTAAACTATTCATAAATTATTATATTTATGTCAACAACGGAACTTGAACCATCGACCTTAAGGATATAGAATAACACCGGACACCGCTGGGCTAGAAAACATATTTTTTTTTTAAACATAGTTAATATTTCTAAAGAAAAAAAGTAATCATTTTATTAGTTATTTATCTTAAATATTTTATTAGTCTCTCATATACTTATTTTAAATATTTTATTAGTCTCTCATATAATTTATAATTTTACTAAGGTATGTTATAACTTTATTGGATATTTTTTTCCAATATTATAAAAGATGATAAAAAATTTCATATTCATAGTTATAAAAGTATAAAAATAATAAAATATTATGTAACCGTGATGTTTTATAAATTTTTATTTTAAAAGTTTTAAAAATTACTTTTAATTTATATAACTTTTTAATAAACTTTATTTATTTATTTTTTTGTTTAATAAATCAAATGATTAACTACTAAAGAAAAATCTGACATCTAAATATAAGTAGATTATATAAAGTAAAATGTTACTAAATGTAAGGATGTGAAGTTTAAAGAAATTAAATTGTTATAAAAAACAATAAGTGTTTTGAATTAGCTTTTAAAACTTGTTCTTCAATAGTAAAAAAAAGAACTCAAAAACTTATTGAAATAGTAAAAAGCTTTAGAAAAATAAAACTACCAGAGGCTCATAATAGATGACATTTCAAAAGTTTTTTTACTTCATTAACTTTAATTTTGACAAAAAAACATTTATCAAATAATTTCACCAATGGTTTACATCTTTAGAAGTTTTTTTTTTTTTTTCCTAAAGTTAACTAATTTATCATTTATCTATCTTAACAGTTTCATTATGTAAGATCCTATTTTTAGGGGCTTGGAGTTTTGAACTTTTTGGTAAAAAAAAATCTTGAATATAAAAATATTAAGTTGGAAAAAGGAAAGAATAAGATGGTAATGACAAAGAACGAGCAATAGATTGAAAAGACTTCTATATGCAAGAAAATATAATTTTAAGGAGTACTACCAGTGTTATCACTACAAGAAGGAAGGATATACGACATCTGAATGTCCCGAAGCACCCCTACTGTTTCAATTGCATGCGATATGGGCATGAAATCCTTAGTTGCCCACAAGTCATTTCAGTTTTCAGGAAGGGTTTAGACACATATATGTGAATTGCCCCAAGATGGAACCATCATGTACTTATAATTAAGCCTTATGTGTTTATTTCTTTTATCTACATATATATACAAGAATGTATATCCTAAAGGTACGAACATTATAGGAGGTGATGTATTATGTGGAACATGTTGACTATAGCTATGCCCAAACTTGATATTCGGGAAACTAAATGGTGAAGTCAAGACTAAGTGTTATGACGCGTGTAACATTATTGATACATAGTACTCACTTTGACCTGACGGGTCCTGTAGCTTCATGTGAATCAAGCTTTATAAGAGGAAAAGAAATGGAGTGGATGATTACCCATGAGTTGGGGATTTTAGTTATCTGACAGTTATCATGTAGTCAATCTAGAAGGCTAATAGAGTGGAAAAGGAAGGGTTTTCAATGTTTGGAGCGAAAGATATGACACCTCCAAATTTACAGTCATTTAAAAAAATTATTTATGCTATTTTTAAATCATAGTATTTCTTTTGTTGTGGAATTGGTCCCCAAAAATATTATTTCAATGTGAGATAATATTAACATTAAACATTTCCGAAGAAACATTCGATATTGATATTCTTTCAAAGCTTGGGATGTTATAACTAATACAAAACATAAACATAAACAAACCTTACATTAATTTACACTATTGATCTACATCTCCTTTAATCTCACGTTGTAATGTATCTTCGCATCGATACATGTGATATAAATAACTGAGTGGGTCAGGTTGGGAAACCTGGTGAGTACATAGGGTTCTCAACCCACAATAATATGGTTAATATGCTTAATTATCAAACAATTAACCCAATCATCCATCCCCGTTTTATTATTTATTCTTTCCCACGGATTTATCCTAAGGGTCATCCCCTACATCACATTTACCTATCATCCCCTATATCGCATTTCCTTATATGTTTGTGCTAAGTATTTTTCCTAAGGGTCGTCGCCTACATCGCATAGACAGTATTGTTTTGGGGATAATTTCCTTGTGAAGAGATCTAACAACTAAGTGATCAAGGTGGCGACTTTTTACCTCTAGATGGTTGCTACAACAGTGTAGATGTTGGATCCAATGTCTCCTTCTTGTTCCAAGCCTCTTGCTCCTCAAGCTCCTTCAAGGATTTCACCAAGATACACTCTCTTAGCCTCTCTCTCTCTCTCTCTCACACACATACACAAATGACACAAGCTCGTTTAGTGTTTCTCTCAGGGTGTTAAAGTGATAAGGGAGGCGGAAATGAAGGCTTAAGGTCCTTTAAATACGGCACAAACCCTGAAAATTAGGGTTTTCTCACTCAGCACCTACTCGTCGAGTTGGGTCCACCAACTCATCGAGTAGACTCTAAAAATCATGCGAGCCTCTCTATCTCTACTCAGCGAATTGGGGCCTCCAACTCGTCGAGTTTCCCTAACAAAATGAATATAATATAATTAAATTTACCCAAGAGTCGGGATATTACAATTCTCCCCCACTAGAATCAGACTTTGCCCTCGAAGTCATCCTCAGGAAATAACTCTGGGTACTACTCACGCATCTCGGACTCCGGCTCCCAAGTCCACTCGGATCCCTTCCAATGTTGCCACTGAACCTGAACCAAGGGCACCTCTTTATTCCTCAAGACCTTCACCTTCCTATCCAAAATCGCTACCAGCTTCTCAATGTAGTTCAAGCGATCATCAACCTGAATGTCCTCTAAAGGGACCACTGTCGTCTCACCGGCTACACACTTCCTCAGTTGGGACACATGGAAGGTGTTATGAATCTGACTCAACTCCGTAGGCAGCTCTAACCGATAAGCTACCTTACCCACTCGAGCGATCACTCTGAAAGGACCGATGTATCTAGGGCCCAGCCTGCCCGCTTCCTGAATCGGATCACCCCTTTCCATGGGGATACCTTCAGGAGGACATAATCCCCGACATGGAACTCTAGCTCTGAACGTCGTCGGTTTGCATAACTCTTCTGACGACTCTGGGCTGTCAGTAACCTCTGTCTGACCTGTTGGATCTGCTCTGTCATTTTGAGCACTATCTCGGTGCTCCCCATAACTCTCTGCCATACCTCTCCCCAACAGATGGGAGTTTGGCACCTCCTCCCATATAAAATCTCAAAGGGAGGCATACCGATACTGGAGTGATGGTTGTTGTTGTATAAAAACTCAGCCAAGGGAAAGTAGGTATCCCAACTTCCACCGAAGTCCATAACACATGCGCGTAGCATGTCCTCGATCATCTGAATCGTCCGCTCGCTCTGCCCGTCGGTCAGTGGGTGGTAAGCGGTGTTGAAATGCAGCCGAGTACCCAACTCCTCATCAAACTTCCTCTAAAACCTAGAAGTAAAATGCACATCCCGATCTGACATTATCGATGTTGGCACCCCATGTCGTGTCACCACCTCTCGAATGTAGATCTCGGCCAATTTCTCCGCAGAAGAGTTCTCACTTATAGCTAGGAAGTGAGCACTCTTCATCAACCGGTCTACAATCACCCATATCGCATCAACACCTTGCACAGTCCTCGGTAACTTGGTATTGAAATCCATGGAAATCTGCTCCCACTTCCATAGACACCTTTGTCGCGTCCCTCTCATGGGTCTTATACTCAACAATCTATTCGGGAGTAGCAGTGTTTTCATCAATCTCCTTTAGCTCTTTATCGAGGACATATTCTTTGTTCTCGTAGCGAATAACCATGCGAATATTTCGAATCCAATCATTGAAGTTCGATCCATCAAAGATGACCCTACCACATAAGTTCATGAGGGAGAAAGAGCCGGAAGGGATTAGGTTTGAAGCATTGTTCGAAGTAGACATCTGAAAAGAAAAACAAAGTTTAGATTAGATAAGGATCCTTAATATAACACCCAAATGAAATATTAAGGCTAGGACCCAACACAATATTCTACATTTTGGAAGAGGGATGCCATAATCCAATTGTAAAATATTTGAAGGTAGGTAAATAACGATTTACCAATTTCCACCATGAAAAACGAAATCGATTATTAAGTTTTAAATGAATTGAAATTCCTAGATTCTTTTGAGATTCATTGAACTTTTCAATGGCATGTTTAAATCTCGATTATGCCCTTCAATGTAACACCCAAATTTTCAAAACAATTTTTCACTTTTTAAAACCATATAAATTCATCCACAATTGCTTTCAAAAACAATGTATCAATTTTATCTCACTACAAATCCCAAGATCAAATCATAATAAACTCTGCGGGTGTGTGTACAGATCATGCCGGCGCCTTCCCGCGATCACCACTGGTACTTGAAACACATAACACATAACACCGTAAGCATAAAGCTTAGTGAGTTCCCCAAAATACCACTCTAACACATATTAGCCACTCGAGGCTATGACTCTGCTGACCCTCTGGTCAGTGTGTCTCAGTGGGACCTTCCAATCCCAACTCTCTGTGGGCTCTCTAGCCCTAACTCTATGGACCCAAAGGTCCTAACTCTGATAACTCTGGATCATGCATATCACATATCATAATAAATCTCAACACATAAATAGCATACAAATACACTGGCACATAACTATAGAACATAACACACATTAGCCACTCGAGGCTATAACTCTGTGGGCCCTTGGGCCCTAACTCTG